CACACACACACACACACACACACACACAAATAAATAATTTTTTTTTTTAAAAAGAAGGAACTAGGACACTTCCTACTGCATGGAGCTCCACAGAAGGCTGGAACTGGAACAGAAAACAGTGCTCTTACTTCAAGGAAGAGGAGAAATTGACTGAACTTTCAGGCTGGAAGTTGGAGAGGAAGTACAAGAAAGGTGAAAGCTACAGAAGTGTCAGCTCCAATATTAACGCACAAATTCTCCTCAAATCCTTAGTTAACTATACATGCGGAGAGGGATTTCAAGGACTACCACAGAAATCAATAACAGTAGGAATTTCCTGGAAATCAGTTTGGAGTTCAAGTCCTGACAAGTTAGAACAGCTGAGCAAACCCTTAAGCTTTTGTTTTAATGCCAAAAAGGCCATGTCCTATGGTAAGACCAGGACTGAGGAGTATGGTTAAGGCTATGAGTAAAGACAAAATAAACCCACCTAAACAAAGCCTAAAAGCCAACTTCCAAAAATCAAATAAATTAACTACCTGCTAGAACAACAACAACAAAAAACATTCTTTAAAAGATATTAAGATGCAGTCTCAACATGCTACCCAAAATATCCAGTACACAACAGAACGATAGACACATGAAGAAACAGGAAAACAGGATTCACGGTCAAGAGAAAAAAAGTCAACAGTCAAACGTACTCCTTGCCCAGATGTTACAGTTAGTAGACAAAAGATTTTAAAATGACAATCGTAAATATGCACAGTTATTTCAGGAAATGAAGGATAGAATGAATGACTAGATAGAAAACGCCGGAAGAGAAATGAGAACAATAAAAATAATACAAATAGAAATTCTAGAACCAAAAATATAGTATCTGACAGGATATTTATTTTTCTTTTTTAAAAAATGTATTTAGTACAGGATCTACAGGGTCGTACTACACAGGCTGGACTCACAGTGATTCTCCTGTTTTCAGCCTCCCAAGCGCTGGGATTACAGGCACGCACCACCACGCCCAGGCTCAATCGCTGTCTCAGCATGCCTGGGTCGGGGCTGGCACAGTACACAGCAAATGGAACCCTGGTCCCTGCTCAAGTTCAAGAGGAGGAGGAGAAGGAGACTTGAGCATAAAAAAGATCTGAATCATCAAAATAATGGTCAAAATTTCCCTTATAGCAGTGGTGGTGAATCTATGTTTTTTTTTATTTTAAGATAAAACATGGTAATATATGAGTCACTTTTCAAATAAACTGAAACCTCAGTATTCAGGTTTAATTGCATTGTGGGCATTTTGTGATAAATAAGTCAGTTTTGGGTTGCAGCTTTGGCATTTATCTCTAAAAGGTTTGCCATCACTGTCTTATAGTCTCAAATTTAGTGGGGAAAAAAATACCAAAGCCATTGGTTTAAGAGACTTATAAAATCATACTTAACTGGGCTGGGGAATATAGCTCAGTGGCATAGGGCCTACCTGTCAAGTGTGAGATCCTGAGTTTGATTCTTGGTAACCCCCCCATCATACTTCTCACATCATAATCAAAAATCTAAAATAGAAAAATCCTTTTTTTAAAAAAGCCAGAGACCTATTACATATACAGAGGAAAAAGAGACCAT